TTTGGTTCTGCTATTCCAGCTGAATGCTCTGGAAACAGTCTTGTGATCTCATCAGAAGGAAGATTTGTGGTTTTGTGTTTTTACCTTTGTAAGTGTAAAAACAATTTAAAACATGCCAGTATGGCATGTTTGAATGGAGTTAGAGCAAAGGTGGGAAAAGTAACTTTATCTCAGTGACAGAACAGAAAAATGGAACGATTGTTAATTTTCTTTTAACACCTCAGAATACTTGAAAAAAGGTTTTGGACTAGAACATGTACAACGTTTCACAGTAAAGTGTGAAAAAACTGCTTAATTTCAGCAAAAGAAGCAGAAAATGGGGATTTATGAAACTGATACTTCACTGGAGTGTTAGTTTAATTTAGATCTTTTACTTATTAAGCACTTATTAGACAAGGATATGTCTAATTGTATTGAAGACATGGTATTGAACAATTTTCAGCACAGAAAAACTGTTGGTGATAATTCACCACCAACAGTCTACTAAAATGGTGATCTGTAGTGCACACTTCTGCGAGGAGGTTTACAACAAGAGACAAAATGAAGAAATGACTAAATCAGGCTGAAATCCAGCCTTTGGCAGTGCCACGGATTTACAGTAGCACAAACAGTGCTACCATACTGCTACCGATCAGCTGATTGGGCTGCTGGTTTCAGCCCAATCAGCTGATCCCTGGTGTAAGCAATGGCCAACTTGTTGCGCTCAGCAGAGTATAAAAAGTATCTCAACAATGAAGAAAAAAAGATGACTTTTTTAGTCAACATTGTTGACTAAAGTAAAATAAAGTGGTGAAATAAAATAATTGAAAAATATTTAAAATATTTTTTTTTTAAAATCAAACAATGAGAGGAGTAACCGCAACAGGCTGCATACACGTGCGCATTATATATGATGTTTTTTTTTTTTTTAATACATATTAAATTAGATACTAAAACCTGAAAATGCCTGTCTCTGTTCAGCTGAGAACAGAACAGTGTCTTCTATGTTCTGGCTAACATTACAATGCAAACTCTGCAAGGTGAAGTTTCCATGGTTCGCGCCGTGTTTCTGCAGATGTCTCAGGATGTCCAGTATGGAGTCCAGCTCTGAGCGGAAAGCGTCCAGTTCTCTGTTCTTGTCCTGAGCCAGGCGCCGCCACCGCTCCACTTCTGACTGCAGGTCAGCCGTTGACATCTGAAACGTTTCGGCAACAACCTGCAAAAGACAGGTCACATCCAGACCTCCAGCTAATATCTGGATATATTAAATAATCATGATATTTCTCTATCCAGTTTGAATGGCTATTGTCAGGAGTTATCGTGACAGGTGCTTTTGGCTTTAGGAATAACAGAAGCAAAGCACGGTCTCAGTGCTTTGCTTTGTGTTGCATGTCCTGGCAGCTTGGACGCCAGCAGAGAAACAAGTCAGCATCTAATAGATAAAGTGTGTGTTGTGGTACCTGCTGCAGCTCCTTCTCTCTATGCTCATGTCTGAGCTCCATGCTAATGATCTTCCTCTCCAGACTGCAAAGAAGTTTCACCTCAGAGCTCTGAGCTTCTTTAGCTTCCTTCAGCTCCTGCAGCAACCTGGTTAACTAAGCATGAGCAGAACATTAGAGTAAGCAAGGAGGTGAAGTCCTGATGCTGACACAGCAGCATGTAAAGCAGACTAATGTAAAGCAGACATTAGTCATTCCCTCATTACAGATGAGCGTACACCCAGTTCAGGTTGTTTACTACAGGCTTACTTTTACAAAAGAAATTTAAAAAAAATCTAAAACTGATTTTAGTCAGTTTTAGACTGTTGTGTACAGTAGATTCTGTGTACTCTGTAGATGGTCAAGATAGTCTTGAAGTTATGTTTTGTGTATTCCATTTAACTTGATCATAATTTAATTGATTTGATCATTTACTTATAATTCAAGATTACATGGCATAGAAAAAGAGGTTATTCATGAGATATTTGACTGTAACCGCAACAATAGTTAAGAATTTCCATAATAAATTGTTGATCACAATTATTAAGAATTACACAAGCCAAACACGAAACGATGCAGGTCCTGATTACCAACAATAATTGGTAATCAATACACATTGGCAATACACATGCTGCCAATATATGTATTGGCAGTATTTTGGCAATATAGTGTTTGATGTATTTTTAAATATTTACATTGGTTTTCTATTTGCCACTCTTCCACTTTTATTCTCTTCTATTTGCCACATTTTCTCACAAGTCAAGGCTCACATGCTTTGACTCGCATATGAGCTTAAGTGACATCTAATCCATATGGCGTTGGTAAACCCTTTATAGCTAGAACAGCTTCAGCTCTTCTGGGAAGGCTGTCCACAGGAGAATTTATGGGGATTTTTGACCATTCTTCCAAAAGCATATTTGCAAGGTCACATACAGCCTGGCTCTCAGTCTCCGCTCTAATTGAACCAAAGGTTGAGGTCAGGATGTGTGCACGCCAGTCAAGCTCATTCACACCAGACTCTGTGCACCAGAGCACAAAGCAACAAGGTCCATAAAGACATTCATTCATGACAGTCATGTTGGAAGAGGAACATGACTGTTCCTCTTGGAACTGTTGGAAGAGTCATGGTGTTTCATTGCTTAGGTGCATGTAGAATGCACCTAAGCATGCATTCTGCATGCTTAGGTGCTTGATTTTATACGCCTGTGGCCATGGAAGTGATGGAACACCTGTTCCGATAATTTGGATGTGTGATCAAATACTTTTTACCTACACTATATTAGTGTAGGTCAGACGAGAAACACTGTGAACACACATACCCCTCAATAAAAGAAATAAGCTACTGTGCGTCTCCATATTTTGAATATACACAAAGTTTTTACCTGCCATGAAAAAGTGCGGCAGCCACGCAAAAATTTTTTGTGGAGATGCTGCAGGGTGTTCCGCAGATGTCCAAAGCTGGTAAAGAGAGAACTGCTGCTAAATGTGGCTTTACAAGGTGCTGACCACAAATGGACAGAAACTACAGAGACCATTAACTGAAGAAAATACTAAAAACCAATGGAGCTGTAATATGAGGAAGTTGGTGAGGTATAAATACTTATACCTCCTGTTCAGCCTTCACACAGGAGAGCCTCAATCAATACTATTGTAAACTTTTACAATAGTATTGATTGAGGCTCTCCTCAATCAATACTGAGGAGCAGGGGACTGGTAGAACCTGCAGAAAACAAGCTGCTCACCTGCTTCTGCAGAACTTCTTCTCTGCGCCTGGAGATGGAGAGAGCCTCTTTACATTCCTGCAGCTCCTTCAGCTGCTGCTGCAGGTGTTTCATTGCTACCTGAGAGAAGATGGGGAGCTGAAGCAATAGAATAGATTTTCACCTTGGGACTAAAATTACGCTGGTGGGTGAGTGAACCTGTACCTCCTGGCTGTTGAGCTTATTGCTCAGTTCTGCCACCTTGGAGGATGAGTGCTCCAGGGCATGGGTGGCTTGCAGACGCTCCAACACCCTGAGGTGTTCAGCCTTCACACAGGAGAGCTGCTCTGCAAATTCTTCTTTCAGCCTGCAAAATCCCATTCAACTATGTTTAATCACAGTGGTGATCTGGAGCCTCGTGTATTAAGTGTACATATACAAAAAGGTGCAGCGACATATTTTACAGGTGAAAGTATACGCAAACTTTTTACCTGCCATGAAAATGTGTGGCTTTTTTTGTGGACAATAACAAACTACAAAGTGCTAAAACTCACCACCACTCTCTTTATTAGTATAAACCATTATCAACACTGTATACACTGAAATCAGTGTATTCAGTGCATTCTGAAATTAATTTCAGAATTTTTTTTATACCAAGAAACATCAAACTCATTTCATGATTTTAAACATAAATGATGAAATTGAACCACATTTACAAAATAAATAAAATAAAGACTTCCGGTGGACGCGGAGCAAGAAGGCAGCATAAGATCGAGCTCCTTTGTCAAAGAAACAAAAACCCTCCCTAAAGCAAAGAAATTAGTTAAAACAAGACTTGAATCAGACACAAAATAAGTGGAGGGTGTAAAGCAGAGAAGCGTAAGGAAGAAAATGCCCAAAGAACACGACTCCAAATTTGAGCAAATGGAATAAGAAAGCGGTGACTCGAAGCAGCTCCAGGCCGTGCTAGAGGGGCTAAACACCCCTCATGGTGGAAATTTGAGACTTCAAAAAGGAGGTGAAGGAGGTATTAAGAAAATAAATTTAAAATATGCTAGTTGTAAAAACTTAACCATGTTCAATATTAGATAAAATTACTAGTGTTTTAAATAAGAAAATTCGCTCCAAATTATATCCATGGTTCAAACAGCACAATCTCTTATGTAGGATATTTTTATTGAAACATAAGTTGAATTAAAATAACTTGGCGTGTAGTTCTCTNGTTTCACAGTAAAGTGTGAAAAAACTGCTTAATTTCAGCAAAAGAAGCAGAAAATGGGGATTTATGAAACTGATACTTCACTGGAGTGTTAGTTTAATTTAGATCTTTTACTTATTAAGCACTTATTAGACAAGGATATGTCTAATTGTATTGAAGACATGGTATTGAACAATTTTCAGCACAGAAAAACTGTTGGTGATAATTCACCACCAACAGTCTACTAAAATGGTGATCTGTAGTGCACACTTCTGCGAGGAGGTTTACAACAAGAGACAAAATGAAGAAATGACTAAATCAGGCTGAAATCCAGCCTTTGGCAGTGCCACGGATTTACAGTAGCACAAACAGTGCTACCATACTGCTACCGATCAGCTGATTGGGCTGCTGGTTTCAGCCCAATCAGCTGATCCCTGGTGTAAGCAATGGCCAACTTGTTGCGCTCAGCAGAGTATAAAAAGTATCTCAACAATGAAGAAAAAAAGATGACTTTTTTAGTCAACATTGTTGACTAAAGTAAAATAAAGTGGTGAAATAAAATAATTGAAAAATATTTAAAATATTTTTTTTTTAAAATCAAACAATGAGAGGAGTAACCGCAACAGGCTGCATACACGTGCGCATTATATATGATGTTTTTTTTTTTTTTAATACATATTAAATTAGATACTAAAACCTGAAAATGCCTGTCTCTGTTCAGCTGAGAACAGAACAGTGTCTTCTATGTTCTGGCTAACATTACAATGCAAACTCTGCAAGGTGAAGTTTCCATGGTTCGCGCCGTGTTTCTGCAGATGTCTCAGGATGTCCAGTATGGAGTCCAGCTCTGAGCGGAAAGCGTCCAGTTCTCTGTTCTTGTCCTGAGCCAGGCGCCGCCACCGCTCCACTTCTGACTGCAGGTCAGCCGTTGACATCTGAAACGTTTCGGCAACAACCTGCAAAAGACAGGTCACATCCAGACCTCCAGCTAATATCTGGATATATTAAATAATCATGATATTTCTCTATCCAGTTTGAATGGCTATTGTCAGGAGTTATCGTGACAGGTGCTTTTGGCTTTAGGAATAACAGAAGCAAAGCACGGTCTCAGTGCTTTGCTTTGTGTTGCATGTCCTGGCAGCTTGGACGCCAGCAGAGAAACAAGTCAGCATCTAATAGATAAAGTGTGTGTTGTGGTACCTGCTGCAGCTCCTTCTCTCTATGCTCATGTCTGAGCTCCATGCTAATGATCTTCCTCTCCAGACTGCAAAGAAGTTTCACCTCAGAGCTCTGAGCTTCTTTAGCTTCCTTCAGCTCCTGCAGCAACCTGGTTAACTAAGCATGAGCAGAACATTAGAGTAAGCAAGGAGGTGAAGTCCTGATGCTGACACAGCAGCATGTAAAGCAGACTAATGTAAAGCAGACATTAGTCATTCCCTCATTACAGATGAGCGTACACCCAGTTCAGGTTGTTTACTACAGGCTTACTTTTACAAAAGAAATTTAAAAAAAATCTAAAACTGATTTTAGTCAGTTTTAGACTGTTGTGTACAGTAGATTCTGTGTACTCTGTAGATGGTCAAGATAGTCTTGAAGTTATGTTTTGTGTATTCCATTTAACTTGATCATAATTTAATTGATTTGATCATTTAATTATAATTCAAGATTGCATGTCATAGAAAAAAAGGTTATTCATGAGATATTTGACTGTAACCGCAACAATAGTTAAGAATTTCCATAATAAATTGTTGATCACAATTATTAAGAATTACACAAGCCAAACACGAAACGATGCAGGTCCTGATTACCAACAATAATTGGTAATCAATACACATTGGCAATACACATGCTGCCAATATATGTATTGGCAGTATTTTGGCAATATAGTGTTTGATGTATTTTTAAATATTTACATTGGTTTTCTATTTGCCACTCTTCCACTTTTATTCTCTTCTATTTGCCACATTTTCTCACAAGTCAAGGCTCACATGCTTTGACTCGCATATGAGCTTAAGTGACATCTAATCCATATGGCGTTGGTAAACCCTTTATAGCTAGAACAGCTTCAGCTCTTCTGGGAAGGCTGTCCACAGGAGAATTTATGGGGATTTTTGACCATTCTTCCAAAAGCATATTTGCAAGGTCACATACAGCCTGGCTCTCAGTCTCCGCTCTAATTGAACCAAAGGTTGAGGTCAGGATGTGTGCACGCCAGTCAAGCTCATTCACACCAGACTCTGTGCACCAGAGCACAAAGCAACAAGGTCCATAAAGACATTCATTCATGACAGTCATGTTGGAAGAGGAACATGACTGTTCCTCTTGGAACTGTTGGAAGAGTCATGGTGTTTCATTGCTTAGGTGCATGTAGAATGCACCTAAGCATGCATTCTGCATGCTTAGGTGCTTGATTTTATACGCCTGTGGCCATGGAAGTGATGGAACACCTGTTCCGATAATTTGGATGTGTGATCAAATACTTTTTACCTACACTATATTAGTGTAGGTCAGACGAGAAACACTGTGAACACACATACCCCTCAATAAAAGAAATAAGCTACTGTGCGTCTCCATATTTTGAATATACACAAAGTTTTTACCTGCCATGAAAAAGTGCGGCAGCCACGCAAAAATTTTTTGTGGAGATGCTGCAGGGTGTTCCGCAGATGTCCAAAGCTGGTAAAGAGAGAACTGCTGCTAAATGTGGCTTTACAAGGTGCTGACCACAAATGGACAGAAACTACAGAGACCATTAACTGAAGAAAATACTAAAAACCAATGGAGCTGTAATATGAGGAAGTTGGTGAGGTATAAATACTTATACCTCCTGTTCAGCCTTCACACAGGAGAGCCTCAATCAATACTATTGTAAACTTTTACAATAGTATTGATTGAGGCTCTCCTCAATCAATACTGAGGAGCAGGGGACTGGTAGAACCTGCAGAAAACAAGCTGCTCACCTGCTTCTGCAGAACTTCTTCTCTGCGCCTGGAGATGGAGAGAGCCTCTTTACATTCCTGCAGCTCCTTCAGCTGCTGCTGCAGGTGTTTCATTGCTACCTGAGAGAAGATGGGGAGCTGAAGCAATAGAATAGATTTTCACCTTGGGACTAAAATTACGCTGGTGGGTGAGTGAACCTGTACCTCCTGGCTGTTGAGCTTATTGCTCAGTTCTGCCACCTTGGAGGATGAGTGCTCCAGGGCATGGGTGGCTTGCAGACGCTCCAACACCCTGAGGTGTTCAGCCTTCACACAGGAGAGCTGCTCTGCAAATTCTTCTTTCAGCCTGCAAAATCCCATTCAACTATGTTTAATCACAGTGGTGATCTGGAGCCTCGTGTATTAAGTGTACATATACAAAAAGGTGCAGCGACATATTTTACAGGTGAAAGTATACGCAAACTTTTTACCTGCCATGAAAATGTGTGGCTTTTTTTGTGGACAATAACAAACTACAAAGTGCTAAAACTCACCACCACTCTCTTTATTAGTATAAACCATTATCAACACTGTATACACTGAAATCAGTGTATTCAGTGCATTCTGAAATTAATTTCAGAATTTTTTTTATACCAAGAAACATCAAACTCATTTCATGATTTTAAACATAAATGATGAAATTGAACCACATTTACAAAATAAATAAAATAAAGACTTCCGGTGGACGCGGAGCAAGAAGGCAGCATAAGATCGAGCTCCTTTGTCAAAGAAACAAAAACCCTCCCTAAAGCAAAGAAATTAGTTAAAACAAGACTTGAATCAGACACAAAATAAGTGGAGGGTGTAAAGCAGAGAAGCGTAAGGAAGAAAATGCCCAAAGAACACGACTCCAAATTTGAGCAAATGGAATAAGAAAGCGGTGACTCGAAGCAGCTCCAGGCCGTGCTAGAGGGGCTAAACACCCCTCATGGTGGAAATTTGAGACTTCAAAAAGGAGGTGAAGGAGGTATTAAGAAAATAAATTTAAAATATGCTAGTTGTAAAAACTTAACCATGTTCAATATTAGATAAAATTACTAGTGTTTTAAATAAGAAAATTCGCTCCAAATTATATCCATGGTTCAAACAGCACAATCTCTTATGTAGGATATTTTTATTGAAACATAAGTTGAATTAAAATAACTTGGCGTGTAGTTCTCTGTAATTTAGAACACAGCTAGTGGACTGAGCAGACATTCACAGGGGGTCGTGACTCTTTTGACCACCTTGATGAGATTTAAACAGCTGATGTAACACTGAATGCAGTTTGTAAAACACATAATTTAATTTGTAATCTCTCCTAGTTGTTAACAATATGTCTTGATTGAAATAGCCTAATTATAGTTTTCAGATTAATAACAGCAGCCCTATGCTCTATGCTGCTCTGCTCTATGTAGTTACCTGTAGTTACAGCAGATTGCCTGCTAGATCTTCTGATCTTCTGATCTTTGTCTGTGTGGGAAAGAATCAGGAGAAATTCCAGCTTTCACACTGATCTGTGAAAGGCCATAAAACATCATGAGTTCAGGCCAGCGAAGGAAAAAGCTCTGCTTCTACTTTGCTTAGATGTTTTCAAGATGTTTGATCTTGAAAACAAATTGTAGGGAGTTTCTAACTTTTAAGAGGGTCCGAGACAGCTCCTGTTTGGATGAGCAAAGATACGCCTTATTTGAATAAATTAAAGAGAAGAATACGCCTTTACTATAAAAATTTGTGCACGTGAGGAACAAACCAGATTTGCTTTTGCAACTCCCCAAAGATGTCTTTGCCTTTCTTTCTTTCCTTCTGTCTTTCTTCATTTCTATTTGTCTCAGGTAAATGAATGTCTGTTTTAGTGTGTTTGAAGTGTCTGTGTTGTCAATGTGATTTTATACTTTTAAATGTTGGAATAAATTCTGAAAATGTATGACTGTCATCTCTATGTGGCTTTTATTCCTACGCATGGCATCATTGAGTCCGGGAGGACAAGAAAATACAACGAGCCAGAAGTTAATGATTTTATTCTCTACAGAGGACCTCGTAAAATTCAAAGACAAATTCAAAGAAGAGGTGAAGAATTTATGGGTTTTAAAGAAGAAATTGAGAGAAAAGGGGCACAGAACAATGTGGAAATACAGAAACAACAACAGAACATCACTGAGGCGCAGGGCCGTATAGCAGAGTTGGAAGAGTGCAGCACGGAAGCAAAGGACGCCATTCTGAGTCTCTTAAAACAGCAAAGAAAATAATAATTACGAGAGAAGCTAACCGAAGGACACGACAGGCGCTGCAAGACAATGAATCAGTTCAGAAATGGTGGAGAGTAGCACCAGCGGCAGCGTGTCGGTCATTGTGTGTTACCCAGTTGGGCACAATATCGCAACACCAACACCGTGAGTGAAACAATGACTGGGGCAGCCTACTACTTTTTTATTATTACACATACACATTTGTAGAATACGGAAGAAATTGCGTCCCGTATTAAACCGATACGGGACACGATTTGTTACATTTAACAACCAATTACGGGACGGTTCCGAATTTTACGGGACGGGTGGCAACCCTAGTGGATACTCCACCGTGAGCTGCAGATCCAGCGGGCTCATAAAAGCCTCGGAAAGAAACCACCACCCGGGGCCACCAGGTCAATTTTCTTATACAAAACCAAAGAAGAAATTGTGACAAAAGCATGGAAAAAGAAAATCCAAGTCGAGGGGAGATAGTAGAACGAGATAATAGAAAAATGCAAATCCTACTCCGGGATTAAAAAGACTCTGAAAGACCGAAAGATCCGCTTCCACACGCCAATGGAGTTATGACTCAATGTCATAGTAACAAGTTATGACATTGAAAGGAGTTATGACATTGATTTCAAATAATGTAAAGTTCGAAATGCTGAAAGGGATAAAGATACCTAATGATAAAGGGCAAATTGGAAAATCAGTTAATTACACTACTATAATTATATATAATTGTATATGCCCCTCCAGAAAGTGACAAGATACTTTAAGAAAATATTTGATCTCATTAATTTGGAAGCAATACAATACGTATTGGGGACAATACGTATTGGGGACTTTAACGTCGTGTTAAATTATAGGATTGATAAAAAAAAAAAAAAAAAAGAATAAAAAAACAAATCAGTATGAACACCATGATGTCAGAAATGGTAATTCTAGATATATGGAGAGAATTTCACCCCTTAGATCAGGATTATACCCACTATTCAAAACCACATGGTGTTTATTCCAGAATCAATTCTAGCATATAATCAATTATATGCTAACAAATGAGAGAACTACATAGAGTAGGATGTAGGATTGATATCAGATGTCTCTGATCAATTTATGAATGATTCACCTGAACAGCAGAAAGAAAAGTACTTTGTGGAGACTAAATGAAGGAATATTAAATAACAAGGGTCTAATTAGTGAAGTAAAAGAGGAGATAGTCTGATATAGAGGAAAATGATAATGGTGAAGTAGATCGATTGGGATGGGATGCCCTGAAGGCTGTAATATGGGGGGAAATGATTTCTTACACAGCTGAAAAAAGCTAGATTAGAGTAAGAGGGACTTAAATTTGTCATGTTAAACCTCCTTATGTTATAAAAACTTAGCAAATTGAGTTGGATGATCATAATAAATTGAGTTGGTCAGACGGAGGATACCAAACTGGCATTGAACTCAATTGTTTTAAGTAAAGTCAAAGTGAAAAGTTCCTTTAAGTTTTGAGTTAAATGAACACAAAACAGTAAGTTGTCATAACAAAAGCAAAATAATTAAGTGAAATTAATGTAAATAAGTCCATAAGATGAACTGCAGCACAAATACACTTTTTAGAGTGTATTAGCGTTTATTAGCGCAGAACTAACAGCTACATTCCAGTGTAGCTGGAACTGCTGACATGTCAGACAGTTGAGCCATCCCAGCTTTATGACCAGTGATGGCATAATTACTTTGAAAAAATAACTTTAATTGGATAACTGATTACTCCTAGAAAAGGAGTAATCTCCTAAAGTAACTAAGTTACATTAAAAGTAACTTTTTAGTTACCATATTTTCCGCACTATACTAGACGCTAGAGGCTGGAGTTACATTATGCATCCACTAGATGGAGCTGCACTAAACGGAATGTCAACAAAACAGACTCCAGTTGGCGAGGAGAGCCTTCCGCGACTGGGCCGGGGCGTGGCCGGACGATGGTCGCCCTTCTCCATTTGCGCACAGCATGTTCGTGTAGAACGTGGTGCTAAATGTTCTACACATCTGCAGGTCATTTTGCACCACGTTCTCCTGATTCTAGACGGTCAGTAGGTAGATAGGTCAGTCAAACTTTATTAGTAGATTACAAACCAGCGAGCTGACAGCATGCACCGTGCGCTTCTTCTTCTACGGGGGAAAATGAAGTCGGTGGTTGCTTACTGTAGACCTGTTGTGGCTCAATATTGGTCCATATATAAGGTTTATAAGGCGCACTGTCAGCTTTTGATGAAATTGAAGGTTTTTAGGTGCGCTGAAAGTACCGTATTTTCCGCACTCGGAAAATACGGTACTTTCAACAGATGCTAAAAACAACGCTCTGCCACCTGTGAAAATTACATTGATCTTTGCCAATACTTAATTGCAAGTTATTTTATAGTAGTAACATCAACAATGTGTCTCCATTTATACGGTTGAACTGAAGGGGAGATTGTTTAATAATTACAACAGTACAAAAAGAAAAAAACTTTAGTAATGTGTGCATGGTTATGTGTGTTCCCGTATTTGTCTGGAAAATTATAAATAGGATTTTACACTCCCCCTCCCACCCCATCGTCCAGGTTGTGTGTTACAGCCCTGCGTTTGGTGTCAGAGGGCAGCGCACAGAGCTCCTCCTGCCACTCTACAACTCAGATGTCCCGCTGCACAGATTTCTGACACTTATCTTAATATTAATAATATTAATATTAAGATAATATTATAATGGCGTTTAGTTGCACAACTTTACGGACACGTGCGTTGTTCATATTAGTCTCGACGTTTTCAGTTTTTTGGAGCGCAACGCAAAGCTCGAAGTCATTCACAGGTAATATGAATGATGTTGAGCTTCTTAAAGACACAGCGAACGGATCATCCGGGAAATGATGGACAGGGAGAGCCTGACTAAAACTAACTGGATGTCAGACAAATTCTGGGTTTTATGTCTGCTTATTTGCAAGGCGAAAAACCGCAAGCAGCGCCTCATTAAATCTGCAAGCGACTTTCGAAAAAAAAAAAAAAAAAAAAAAAAAAAAAAAACATGTCCGAAGCTGCTTATAATGGGACTTGGCAAGCGAAAATAGAAAATAGAGATGACGCCTGTGCACTTGTGTACATAGGAGGGGGGAAAAAAATGTCATGTAAACAAAAATAGTTCCTGTTTTATCAGCAACAAAATGCGTATCTCCCTCCTCCCTCCATTATTTATGTTTCTGTCGCTGTTGATAGTTATCAACAGCGTGTGATAACTGCGTGTGTAGGGTGGTGTGTAGAAGAAATAAAAATTAAATGACAAAAGAAATTAGTAACGCACAGTAACGCAAAGTGATTTTGATAAGTAACTGTAGTCTGACTACTGGATTTGAAATAGCAACGCTAATCGTTACTGAAAAAAGTGGTTCGACGTCAGTAATGTGTTCGACGTCAGTAATGTGTTCGACTTCAGTAATGTGTTACTAAGTAACGCGTTACTGACATCACTGTTTATCATCTCCATTATTTTAGTGGGCAACCAACCTATACACGATTCCTCTGTTTAGAATAAACGTCCACTATTTACAATTACATTGTCTGCCTTTAAATCCTGGCTGAACGCTCTGCGGTACAAACAAGCATGGATGTCTTTAATTTGGAATTTTTTCTTTAAAATTTATTATTTTTAATTTCTGTGAGACGACCTTATGTGCCCTAAAAACACCTTTTAAATAAAATATATAATTATTATTTTAAATACTGATACAAGCAAGGACTGTTGCCATGGTTATTGCTTCACATGGTGGCAGCTTCCGGGGATTTATACTAATTGACATGTGACAGGGTGGACCAGCAGCTGCACTCTATTTCCCACAAATTGGAATTTATAAAGGAAAGGTGTGTGTGTGTATGCAGCGCTTTATACATCTGAATTTTTTTGTGCGCCACACTTTTCTAAATTTTCTAAATTTGTCCGCAAGACAATTTTTAGTGTGAAAACTGTGCACTCTTTCATGCATGAGGCCCCTGTAGATTGATTGATTGATTCAGATGTACAGACCTGAACAGTTCCTCCTTTGCCTGAACAGCGTTGGCCTTCAGTTCCTCCTTCTCCTGCTTACTCTGCTGCTGAAGCAATTCCACATGCCGACTCAGAGCCTCGTTCTCCTGCTGCAGCTCAGAGACATGGCTTCCTGACAGCAGGAGGGACATCCATCAGACGGGAAGTCAAAAGCAGACTGACCTCATGACCTCTACTGCCTCATTAAATTATAATTAATTTTGTAATCATTTAATAGTTAACCCCTTAACCCACACTGGAACGTCTGGTGCCGTTTTTCCGGGACTGAGATTTAAGTGTTTAAACTCTGCCGGTGTCCACTATGACACTTTTATTGGGCAGTCTAGAACCTCCCCTTTTGATTGACACCGCATTCGACCAGTAATGTTAGGAAAGGCTTTTTCCGAGCCAAAAATATCCAGAGAGCGACTTGAGCTCGTTTTGACATGCCAGTATTATTTTTCTGGAATATTTCTGACTGGTCAACTCAGAAACTAAATCTAAAGCCACTGATGTGTAGCCAACACGTGTCCTGTCATAAGGATACAAGGCATTTAGGGGTTTATTTTGACAAGTCAAAATAAACTTGACTTGTCAAAATAAGTCATACCACGCATACCGTGTATGCATGGTATGTAACCACCATACTGCATATGCAGTGTATGCGTGGTTACATACACTTATTTTGTGTGTAACCATGCACAATGTATGCGTTTTTGCTGTGTCCAAATCACGGTCAAAGTCTGTGCACCCTCATGTGTTTACAGGACTAGCGTATCGTTAGAAGGGGGCAGCAGGGGAGCAAAGAAGGAGAGGGTACTGGGGAGAGGGCGCGCGTGAAGGAGAGAAGCTGAGAAGGGTCTAGTTTGGCTTCTAGTTGCTGTAGGACTATATGAAACTGGACTATATATATAGGACTATATGAGAGCAGACCTGTGAACACAGAAGGCTGGTAAGTCTTCTCATACTGAGCTGCAGGAAATCTTCCTGCCTGTGTGCTGCCGTCTGCTGCAGCAGAAGATTCCTGGGCTCTGCTCTCTGCTGAGTGGCTCTCTGATCGCTGGCGTGGCATAGACAGCATGCTCCTGCGCTCCCTCTGCAGCCTCTCTATGGTCCGGCTCAGCTCCTGAATGCTGCGGCTCTTAGTGGCCAGCTCCTGGTTCAGCCGCTCGATCCGGCCTCCAAATGCCGCCTCAGCTTGGTGCTGGTGCGGCTGTGCCTGGACGGGGGAACAAGTTTATAGGCAAAAGTATTCATCCCCATTGCAAACTCCCCACAGATCTGGGAGAAGTTAGTTTATCAATCACTGAAGTTTTACATTACATTGATGGATCCAATCTAATCTACATTACAATAATAAAGATCTGCTGCTGTTGTATCAACCTCCCAGACCTTTCAGGTCTTCTGGTTCTGGTCTGGTCTGAATCCAGAACCAAACATGCAGAAGATCTATTATATGATTTCATAATAGACCTTATTATAGTTCGAAGGCACTGAAGGACTGTTTCACCATAGAGCTATATTAATAAAGTAAATAAAGTATATTCTATACAATTCTGATGTATATTTGCTTAATAATTTTGATTACACCATTTGGCAAAATGTAATGTTTACAGGTCATTCTCAAAAAATTAGCATATTGTGATAAAGTTCATTATTTTCCATAATG